GATGACAGTTTGGGAATTTAGTGTCGTCTCATCTTCAGAGTCTGACCAAATCGGCTGTCGGTCAAATGTGATCTTAAAAATGTCCATTTTCTGTTTGTGGCAAAGTAAGAAGTAAAAACGTTCAAATGTCTCAACATGTAGCAACGGCGTCTCAGCGCAGTGATGCAGTGTTTGTGATAAACCTGTGATGTTGTGGTGAAATAACAGCACAGTTAGAATGACTCTCAACCAATCAGCTTACGTGGCTAGAACTAACTGTTGTATAATCCTAAGGAATTCATTACTATGTTTTTTCCAGCTAATAGTCCTAATCATATTTTTTGATTTCCAGTATATGAGAATAGTTTTCTATTTATTTATTAGTGCTGTAAATACCACTCCAGTACTTTTATTTATCATATTAACTGCTGATATATCTCCAAGCAGACAGAGTGATGAAGACAGGCATATTCAACAAGAGTGATAGACGAACCTAATCCAGTACGAAGAACCTGATCCATTAAGTTAAGGCCTCATTCACACCGACCTGGATCACAAAAAAAAAAATCACAAAAAACACAAAAACAAAACACAAACATCACAAAAAAACAACAACAAAAGAATAAAATGTACTGTAACAACTTTAATGATGGGTGGAAGAAGGATGCCGGGGGGGAGGTGTGAAGACGGAGAGCTTTTTATTATTTATACTTTCTTTCTTTCTTGCTCAGCTCAGCTCAGCTCAGCTCAGCTCAGCTCAGCTCAGCTGTCTCCTTCTCTCTCTCTGGGCTCTGCCGCCTACTGAAGGAAGAGATGACTATAAGTAGGCTGGCTGAAACAAGGCACAGGTGAACATCATCAGCTACTAAGCCAGCTGGTTCAGCCCGACCGGCTTCTCCGTCCTGCATTTGATGCCCAGCCACGCCCCCTTCTCCACACATACACACTTGACAAAAACACCACAAAAGACAAAAAACCTCCCAAATAACCAAACATAAATGAAACAAGACACAGACACATCATATCACAAAAACACCAAACAAAACACACCCATACCAAAAAAAAGATCAGCAGAAGAGTAAAACACTTCTACAGCTCAATAACTAATAAAAGAGTTTACCATACCTCCATCTACTGACTCTTCATTACCAGTTACTCCAGTTCTACACTCTTTTATTCATTCATCTGGTGAACTTCTACTCCATCCCTCTAAACTGTGATTTTAAACTCTTGGACAGTGATTTTAGCTTTTGGAGAGTGATTCTATACTTTTAAACAATTTTTAAAATTTAAAATTTTAAACTGTGATTCTAAACTTTTGAACTGTGATTTTAAACCCATTAGCAATGATTTTAAACTCCACCGCATGACACATCACTAAACAAAAAACATTAACTTATATTTTTCTATACTTAAGTTTGTTTAAATGTTGATCATTTTTCTGCTTTTGACTCAAGTATATTTTTGACTTTTACTTTTCATTTTTACTCAAACTTTCAATACGTGCAGTTTCTTTGAACTTTTCAGACCCTGACTTTGAGTTCAGACAATTGTTAGGGCCTAAAATACAGCACACACTGAGCCTGGCAGACTAAGGCCGCATTCACGCTACACACCTCATTGCTTAATTCAGATTTTTTGCTCAGATCCGATCTCTCTACTAGATGGTTCACAGTTTTGTCGGTAAAAGGTCTAAATTCTGTCATTAATGTGAACAGACCTGCATTCCGATCAATAACGTCATGTAAATGAACCATGTGAGTCAAGAACAACAATCTAATTAAGCAGCACAGTAAACTATCACTGCAGAGATCCTTCTCTCTGTGCAGATCTCAGCTGTTCATTATTAGAGCGTCACGAAGGTGAAAACGGCCCAGTAAACACGATACTGACTTCAGGTTCAGCACTGTTGCCACACTAATGCTGAACGACGGAACACGCACTGTGAAAAAAATGTGAACTCTGATCTGAATCTTATTATCAGGGTCACATAGCCAAGAATCAGATGTTTAAAATCTAGAACCACTTCTGAAAGTGGCTGAGATCTGATTTGAAAAGATCAGATTTGTGTTCAGTGTTCTCAGGGGTTCCTGGTCATCAGTTTTCGTTCATATACCGCTCTGTTTCCTTTGTTCAGGAGGCAGCGTTGTTCATGTTAATGGTGTTCTTGTTTTCCCTGCTTGAGTTTACTTTACATGTGTTTATCTTTAGAGTTTCATTGTTTTCATACTCTGTTTATGTTTATCTTAGTTCTTAGTGTCGAGTGTTTGTGTTTCAGGTTCTTCAGGGGTTCCTGTACTCTTTCTCTGCCTGCTGTTGTTTGGGTGTTCCCAGTCAAGACTTCAGTAAAGCTTACTCACTGCCTGTCTGTCTGTCTGTTTTTCTGTCTTTCTATACATTCTATCAGTCTATCTTCCTGCCTGCATGTGCCTCACTAACCTTCTGTCTGTCCATTTGTCTGCCTGTTTGTCTGTGTCTCATTCTTTCTCTATCTACCTTTAAGAAGTTAGGACACTGTGACACGGCTAAGTTGTCCTGGACAGTGGGAGCAGGTGTGGAGACAAACTTTGTCTTTTATTTTTACAAATCAACAGGAAAATGTTCAGCTCTGACCACTTTATTTCTCAGCTGGAACATTCAGCCTTTTAGGCTTTCTTCCTTTTGTGTCTCCTCTGTGTCTCCCTCTCTCTGGGCTCTCCTCCCTACTGACACAGCTATAAATAGGCTGGTAGAGACGACACACAGGTGAAGCGTATCAGCTAGTTAGCCCGCTGGTTCACCGTGAATGGCTCTCCGTCCTGCATGTGACACTTGACCACGCCCCCTCCTCCACAGACACTTTATTGAATCTGGCCTGGTGTAAACCTTTAGAGACACTTAAATGCAGGATGTTAATGAGGGTTACAGTGATGGCGATGATGCTTACTGACATTAATTCAACAGTAATGAGGATGAGGTTGATGACAGTGACGTTGATGTGATGATAATGGGACTGACAGAAATGATGACACTGCTGATAAATGTTTAATGATGATGATGGTAATAATGGTGTGTGATGCTGATAACAGGGACATTAATCAGCATGACATCAGCATGGAAGTTTCACTTGAGGCACGTTAGAGTTGTGCACCGCTTTACGGCAGTTTGAAAAGATTGACTTTGCAGGATTTAGAGGACCTTCACTCTCCTAGTGGTGGTAGGATGTGATTGGGGGAGGCCCAACTTGTGGGTGGAGTTACACAAGACTGAATTGGGAGACATGAGCCACGAGTCAGAGTAACTCTTTTTTCTTGAAAGATTTTCTTGGCTGAATATGTTTTGATGATTTTTGAACGTGTCAGAGAACAAGAGAGCAAGCAAGGCAATATTTATAAATTATATTAATCATATATTATAAATGTATATGTTTTTATTGTGTTTAAATGCTGTTTGTGTATCATCTCGGTTGTACAGGATTGCTTTATATGAAGAAAGCTGCAGTTGTGCTGTCTGTTTTACCTCTCTATTGTCTTTGTGGAGGGGTGTGAACTGTTTTCACAGTGAAGGTTCTCACCCCACCTTTCACCACTCATTGCTCGCTAACAGTTCAACAAAAAATCACAACATTTCGTTTCATCTGATAACAGAGTCATGGGGCAAAATATTTGATTGTATTCAAATATCTTTGCAAGTAGAATGGCCACCAGGGGGCACTGCAGTAAGGCTGTCTTTTTTGTAGCCACTCAGGTTCTTAAAACTTTTCTGAATGCTTCAGTAATTCACTCTGTAACTGCATTTATTGAACGAGGTCAAGGTTATGACCATGGGGACAGAATACAAGGCCATTTGGAGCAAAAACTAAACATATTTCTATTTATAAAGAATAGAAGGACATTGGGAGGGAACGCTAGGGATATTTTTCAAAAAGTCAAGGTATTCTGCAGATTGCAATTGGGCTGGAAGTGTTTTGCTCATGTGAGGCGTAACAGGACAACAAGACAATACTGACACTATATCAATATCCTGAGACTCAGTGAGGAAGCCTCAGGGCCTTTTAGGCCTAACAATTTCTAGAAACTAAAATTACTTCTCTGTAACCTGTAAATACTGTAGTAATTCTCTTATTTCATTGTTAAGTTTTGGTTGAAACCAAAAAAAGTTAAAAACATCCAACTTCCAAGGGAAAATCGTCCAATCAGGATTGTTTTCACTGTGGCACTTAGGCAGATACAGCCAAGCGAGCTCTCCTATTAGCTAGGACTTCCGGAGCTGTTAGTTAGATTATCTACCAACATAATTAGGAAGTGGTAGAATATTCAACCAATCATATTTTGATTTACAGTGGATGGAACCAAGTCTGTGAGAAAAAAACATCACTGAAGGCCAGTAGTCACCAAACCTCCTCCTGGACATCTACTTTCCTACATGATTCACCTCCAAAACACACCTCGTTCAGCTAATCAAGGACTCCTGAAGACCATAATTAGATGTAGCTGTAGTGCTGTCGCCTCACAGCAGGAAGGGACTGGGTTCCATTCCCCCGGCCGGACGACCAGTGTCTCTTCTCTGAGGGGTTTGCATGTTCTCCTCATGTCTGAGTGGGTTTCCTTCCACAGTCTGAAGACATGCAGTCAGGCCAGATGGAGATGCTAAATTGCCCTTAAGTGTGAATGCATATGTCTGTCCTGCGATGGACTGGTGGCCTGTCCAGGTTGTTTCCAGCCTTCCACCCAGTGAACGCTGGGTCTCCAGCGCCCCCTGCGACCCAAGAGGATAAGCGGCTTAGATGATTGACTGAATGAGAAGAGGTGTCAAGCTGAAGTCTGCAGGAAGGTAGGTGACCACTCTCCAGGAGCATGGTTGGTGACCACTGCTCTAGTTTTGACATTAATGGCCCAAACTGCAGTTCTAGCTCTAATAGTCAAGCTTCTCCACTGCTGATGTTCTACCATACATAAAGAATTTTTATCCAAAATTTTGTCTACAATCAACATTCCTAAAGTTCCTACTAAGGATGGTGAAACAAATCCAGGATAAATGAATGCTTGAACTGGCTTGATCGTTCTTTATTGTCATGTGACATGCACACTTAACACTCACTAATTTGACAAGAGATGAACCAGCAAGGAACTTCTGTGGAAACTCTTTGCAGATAACATCATGGTGAGATGTATGATGTTTACCTAAAGAGTTCCTTTGACTCTAGTACATCTACTTAGCCAATGTCCATGACTTAATGTCCATGACCTGCCGATAATTCAAGATTTGACCCCGAGACTGGCACATGATGGATCTTTTCAGGGATTTTTACCTTCTTTACTCACCATAACTCACTCAGAGAACATATTTATGTATTGTCCAACCATCTAGAGGCTTAAATGTAGAAAGAAATCGAGGCAAATAGAAAGAAATTGAGATAAAAATGTGGAGATACATCCTGTTCTGGCAATCAAAGTCAGATTGAGAAACATCAATGACTACTCAACATCGTCATCATCATCATCGACAAGAACAACAACAACAACAACAACAACAACAACAAAAGTAAACAGGATAAAAACAGAGTTTCTTCATCTTTGGTATAAAATGGCCATCTTTAGGTTGCATTTGATTCACAACTAGGAAAAAAATGACAGAAATTGCGAACAATTTCTTCTATTGCTTTTGCTGCTTAGTTTGAACCAGAAGCTCCTACAGTATTTACGTCTGCTGTTGCAAGATTTTTCTGTTGATTTTGGTCAAGTTTTTATCTGTACAGTACTGTGCAGCAGTTAGAGACCACCCTACATTTATTTCGTCCTCCAGTTAAACAGCCATTAAGTACGTTATTCATTTTTCAGCGTCAGGAAAAAAAACAGAAGACCTATGTTTAGGAAAATTTCCCAGAAGCCTTGATGGCTTTTTTGACTGGAAATTAAATAACTGAAGGTTTATCTCAAATTTTTTTGACAGTACTGTAAATTCTTCTTCTTTCTAACAAGCAAGCTTAAAAAAGCGTCTGAAACATGACAGTTTTGTAAATGACTCAATCATCATGATATAAAACAAGTTAAACATTTGCAGCAAACTGCACTAAGTCAAATGCAGCATTTTCCCCATAATATGAAAAACAAAAACAATAAAAAATCTCATTGACGCAGAGACATACTGCAGTCCGTAATGTGAGTCTTCTTCCTCCTAAAGATACAAATCACAACAACATCATAATATCACAATGACCAACATTCTCATCACACAATGATGAGAAGATCTGATAAATCTTTACAGCATGTACTTCTTTTAATCTCTGCAGCAATCTCTGTTCAGCTTCTCGCATCACTGAGTGCCTGGAGGACCTGTTGAATTCCTCTTGATGCCAGGCGCAAACACGTAGAAAACAAAACAAAGGAAGTTTCCTCAAAATTAAGGCAACAAAGACTGAAGAAAAAAAGTTCTCTATAAAACCAGAATTCTCCAAAGGAACTGAAGAAGAGTGAAAAGTGAGTGTAGCTTCATTTCTGAGGAAGACAATGTGTGTTTCTCAACCTTCTTTCTCCTCCGGCTTTAAAAAATAAGCATCGTCTACTTTTTTACTTTTTGCAATGTTATTTTTTACGTATATATTTATCTATTTTACTTCATTTCTTTTTTTTTTTGACAAACATTTTGAAGTTTCAGCTCAACCCAATGATGAGGTCACATGACGACACAAAATCTCCTTTTTTTCTCCTCCATGTCCAGTTTAGTCCTCCTCTGTCTGATCCAGGCAGGAAATAAAAAGAAGTTTATGACCTGGAAATGAGTCTCCATCTCTATCCTTCTCAGCACTGATGCCTAGAAAAGGCAACTCTGTTGCAGGTACATTCACCTGGTCCACAAGCTATCTGGGAGGAAAGACAGAAAAACCGCACAAAAGAAACGAGAGAAAGGTTAGAGAAGGGACCGAAGGGCAGCATCCTTCAAAATGTTTTTTTTTGTTGTGTTTTTGCTATTTAACCAGGTTTCCCAGTTTAGTCACTGTCTGTGTTTACATGCAAAGATTTCTGCCAATCATTCTGATTATAGATTAAGACTGAGGTGTTTATCTCACTCTACTAAACAGTCTGATGGAAAATCTCCATTTACATGCAAACTACACGTAATCAGATCCAAAATGACACGCATGCGTAGAGAACCGCTTAGTGTAGATGTTACCATGACAACCAGCATCACGTGAGTCCAGTCAGAGTGAGATGAGCAGCAGTGAGCAGTGCTTGTGTTTTTAATTGCTCTAAAATGATGTCAGACTCAGGAAAACGTCCTTTACATGTCCTTATTAAAGAAGGCCAAGAGGAAGACGTCGTGTTCTGAGACACATAAGCTGGACGTCCGTCCCACCGCCGTCTTTTAAAGATCAGAGCATAAACTTCGTCTCCTCTGCAGACCAGTTTCTGCTCCGCCATGTTGAACGGTATAAACTTTCACTATGACGTGACGAACATGATCAGAACGGACTTAAACTTTCTGAAGGGGAAAGTAATCAGATACAGGCGTTTATACGGATATTATTCTTCTATTTAATGGATTATTTACAGGATTACCCACCTCGATCAGTCGGATAGAAATTGGATTCCGAATAGCCTCAATTGGACTAGACTATTCTGACTGAGGTGTTTATGTGGACGTATTCTATTCCGATTGAGCTATTTGTCGGATTATTAACAGATCATCAGGCTGCATGTAAACGTGGCGACTGTCATTTCAGGTTTTTATCTATGATGATGCCACCAAGCTAGGAGGGTGAAGACTAGTGCAGCTTTGTCTAAGACATGTGAAGCTCCACCACATCTTTTTAAATTGTACAGCTCAACATGCTTGGAGGAGAATAATAGTTTTAAACACAAAGCTAGCACAAATGTTTCTGTGAGCAGTGCCATAGAAGAACCAGTTCCCCAAAGAACTGTATGTGAAATGGAGATCTGTGAGTGTAAAGAACCTCCACTGTAAGGACTATGTCAGGCTGTCTGGCCACTCTGACCTCAGGCATTAACTGACGTGGAAGAAGGTCTGTTTTACCTGTATCTTCAGAAACAATGACGGCAAACTGCCATAAAACAATGTGTTGGATGACTTAACAGGACCGTTCCCTAAGAGTGTGTGACCTCTCTTGACCTGCTGAGGTCCAAAGAGTTCACGGTAGAAATACACAGCATTCAATGGAAACACACAAACATTACAAAAAACTAATAACATTGAAATGTTATATTAATCAACAGGCGACATCTGTCATGTTGGGTTATGTCAGTTGTTATGACAAGCTTATGTAGATGCTATGTAGCCTTATGAACAGCACCCTACAGTAGAGTGTTACCATTAATACTAATAATTTACCCACAACTCCCACACTGCATACTGCAGAGTTCTCCTTACAGTCTTTACACTACTTTAAAACTTCAGGAAGATACTTTACACTCACACTTTCATTTACAAACCTGGTTCTTTAAAGATTCTCCACTGAAAAGTTTTTAGGCAGAGAGAAGTGGTTTTTCTATGGCTTTGGCACCTTTAATTAAAGAGAGTAGCTGCTAATTCTGTTCTGTTGGCTTAATTTTGGCACACGGGGCCATGTGTTTGACAGGACGGGTCAGGCATCAGTGACCTGACTGATTAAATTTAAATGGATGAGTAATTAAACCAGCCTGTCATAAAGGCAAAGATCATATAAGACTTGTACTGAATGTTTTGACTGTGATACATGAAGTGTCTCTATTTCCATAATATTCTTAATACATTCATATCAGAAGAGTGTGTGTGAGAAAAAGAATTGGATTTTATACAATGATTAGCGAGTTGAAGTTGAAATAAAGGTGCTAAAAGAGGCTCATACATACTTCAGTTGGTAGAATTCAGACATTTAAATAGAACAATGTCTCTGTCATATACTTTTATTGGTAGAATCATAGTAAAAGACAACCATAGTACTTCTGAGTATCTAAGTAAAATACAGTTTAGCGTGTACTTAGACTGGTAGGAGTATGATGGAATGTGGTCACTGGTCTCCACGGTGATTTGTTGCTGAGGTGTGTTGATATCCTGTGATGGGGCAACTGTCTGAGATGATGCGTCCGTCACCACGCCCTAAACACAGCACAGAATTCATTCATTCATTCATTCATTCATTCATTCATCCAGGCCACATTTACCCAGTATGTGTTTAGTAAACATATACTCATCTCAGACTGTGTGGCGTTGGTCATTTGGTCAATAGACCTGATTATGTGGTTTCTGACACTGTGTGATTCACTGTTATCTATCTTTCTTTTGTCCTTGTTTATAGAAGACGGTACATCATATACAGGGATTGCTTAAAAATGTGTTCCAGTACAGATGACTGATTACCTGTTAAAGCATGCAATCTGTAAATTCACCCAGAAAATTACGCCACTAGGTAGTGTTAGGAGTCTTGCCCAAGGACTCTTATTGGTATAGTGTAGGGTGCTGCCCAGGTGGGGGATTGAACCCCAGTCTATAGCGTAGAACAGTATAGCTATGCTCCCTGACTAAAGGTACTGAGATGTACCCTTGAGGGAACCACCCCAGTGACAAGAGGGGAACTGCCCCAGTGACAGTTTAGTACCTTCATTTCTGAGAGTGTAGGAATACTATAATTGACCACTTTTGGAAAATATCTTTTTAAAGTCATATAAATATAAACTTAAAAAAGATGTTTTTTCAAGCGCTCTTCGGTAAAGCCAATGGTTCTATTTTGAACCATGAGTTCAAAGTTCATGCTTAAGTGGTTCTTTGCATGGTGAGAAGATTCTTCAGACTGATGGAGAATGTGCTGTAGATGGTTTTGTATAGAACCTTTTTGAAAATGGTTCTATGCAGCACCAAAAATAGTTCTGCTATTGTTAAGATGTCAAGCTTGTAACAACAGAAGAATTCCTTTTGGTGCTACATAGAACCATTTTCAAAAAGGTTCTATACAGAACCATATAGAGTACATTCTCCATCAGTCTGAAGAATCCTTAAAGAACCATCTTTTTTTTAAGTGTGTTCCAACAGGATGTTTTTGAAAAAGGCAAACAGAAAAGCTGCATTAATGTAGGCTAATGGTTCTAAGGCTGGGCGTTCACTACACGACCTTTAAGATTTCTAAAACTGAGAGCATCACAAACCTAACGTCAGTTTGTCTTGTCTTTTTGTCGTGAGGCGCTCAGACTAGACAACAAGGCAAAGAGGGAGAATAACACATAACGAATTTGTGTCACGACACAGACAGAGCTGAACCTACTGGACCTGTTTCTGCTTTTATGTGCAGTGAAAGTGTAAACTGGGAATTATTATAAGCTGATCTGGATCAACATTATAATCATGATTTTCAGCTCTTATCTGCCTGTGTTTTACTCGCAGCTCCTCTGTCTCCAAGGTCCACTGCTCATGCCTGTTTCTCCTTTCTTCCAGCTCTCTGATTGGCTGTTTGAATCACTCGTTGAGTAAATCTCTGACCTTCTCACACTGCTGGATTCGTGAACATTTTGAGACGTAAATGTCAAACATGTCTGATAATATCGGAGAGTCTCTGATCACTTCAGAGTTCGATTGGAGATCTAAAGATTCACTCGTTTCTCCTCTCACACTACAGATCATCCACACCGTCAGTCACTTCCAATCGAGTTTCCGACCTGAAAAATTGCTTCAGATTGTGAAAATTTGTTGCCGGGGCAAATCATGTCTTGGCTGATCTGCTACATTTAGGGTAATGAGGGGAAAACTGGATAAAAACTGGATAAATTTGCTTTTGTTTTGAACTTAATCGCTTAAATTCTGAATGGTGTGTGTTTTGTGTGACTAAACTGAGCGAGCAGTGTGTGTGTGTGTGTTACCTCTACAGACAGAGCAGACGGAGGTACAGGAGTGAATGGGGGGATGTATGTTCCTTGCATAGGAGCCACAGAGGCAGCTGCAGCTGTCATATACTGAAACACAAACAGATGAGCGTTAGAGCAAAGTTCACCCTCAGTGCAATAAACATCTATCTATCTATCTATCTATCTATCTATCTATCTATCTATCTATCTATCTATTTGTTTAAAGATATTAGGTGCAGTTCTGTTGTGGTCCTGTAGGGGGCAGTGTGAGAGTGAGAGAGTACAGTTATTAGGTTATCACTCACACTCACTGCTGTGAAAAAGAGTGGAGGAACGACAGACAGACTGAAACATTCAACACCGACTCTCTCTCACACACAGATACAGACACACTGGATCAGTGTGTATGAGTTTTCTAGATGGTTAGAAGATAATCTCACTACTGTATCTGCTGTGTCTGATCCACTCGCACCAATACAACACACACTAACACACCACCACATCAGTGTCACTGCAGTGCTGAGAATGACCCTCCACTCAAATAATACCTGCTCTGTGAGGGTCCTGTGGGGGGCCTGACCACTGAAGAACAGGGTAACAAAGTATGCAGAGAAACAGATGGACTACAGTCTGTAACTGTAGAACTACAGAGTGAGACTATATGGTCAGTGGAGCTGATAAAGTGGACAGTGAGCGAAGAAACAAGGAGGTGGACTTAATGAAGTGGCTGATCGGTTTATGTCCAACATTTTGTGTTCACCTGCTCCTCCAGTGTTTCTCCTGAAATCAAGGGCATTAATAATGAGTTTGTGCTGCAGTAACAGCCTCTATTCTTCTGGGAAGGCTTTACACTAGATGTTGGAACATTGCTGTGAGGATTTGACTGAGCATTAGTGAGGTCGGGTACTGATGTTGGATGGTCAGTTCTGGATCACTCCAACTCATCTCAAAAGTATTGGATGGAGCTCCATCACTTCCGACAACACAGTTCCACTGCTCCACAGCCCAATGGTCCAAGTTAAGTATTTCTAATAAAGTGGCCAGTGAGTGGAAGCACAAGGTTGGTGTTTCTAATAAAGTAGCCAGTCAGCGGAAGCACAAGGTTGGTGTTTCTAATAAAGTGGCCAGTGAGTGGAAGCACAAGGTTGGTGTTTCTAATAAAGTGTCCAGCCAGTGGGAGTACAGGGTAGGTGTTTCTAATAAAGTGGCCAGTCAGTGGGAGTACAGGGTAGGTGTTTCTAATAAAGTGGCCAGTCAGTGGGAGTACAGGGTAGGTGTTTCTAATAAAGTGGCCAGTCAGTGGGAGTACAGGGTAGGTGTTTCTAATAACACAGTTCCACAGTGTTCTTTCTGTCTGTATCTGTTCCTGCTATCTGCGTGTTTCTGTTCACTTTATCTGCAGTCTGTCTCATACACACCAGGGAATCATCTATCACACCATTCTCTCTCTATCTCTCTCTCTCTCTGACCTTAAACAGTGAGCTTTAAAAATACCCAACAGGCTCTGTGCTCTGTAAGGTCTCCTACTGAACACAGTCTGAATAGAGGCAGAACACAGACTTAGTAAAGTCTGATTAAATACCACATAAAGAGCGAAATGAGAATGAATAGAGACTAAATACATTGAAACGGCTGTGAACAGAGATTGAATAAAATCTAAATAGAGACTCCGGCAGCACTGCTGTGTCTGATCCACTCGCACCAGCGCAACACACACTAACACACCACCACCACTAAGTACAGTCAACAGTTCCTCAGACTCAGTATGGTCAATGTGTTCTCAGACTCAGTATGGTCAATGTTTTCTCAGACTCAGCAGAGTCACTCGCTCCTCGGACTCAGTATGATCAACATTTCCTCAGACTCTGTATGGGACCTTGAAGTGGTGGTTCTCAAACCAGTCTTCAGGAACCCCAGGTAGTCTACCTGTGTTTGCTCCAACTCACAACACATGGGGCAGTCTCAGGGTTCCTGAGGACCAGTTTCACTAGTCTTAAAGGCACAGCAACAAAAAAAAGCCTGTTGAATTCTAAGGCATCAAGTGAGGTTGGTAAATAGTGATGTGAAAATTAATTATGATCTTTTTGGTACATGAAACTACACAAATCTCATAAGTGGACCTCATTACTCATCATCAGCCTGCATCATAATTCTCTCATGGGGCTGAAGTTCTTATTCATACCTGCAGACACAGGCGTCACATTTAGAAAAAAGAAGGGGATGAGGAAAAATGTAAAAACCTGACTAGGATACGCATTTAGTTTGCGCTCCATGACTGCAGTAATCTTCAGTGATTCTGCTGTATGAAGAGCAGCAGGCAGTAAATGTTGCAGAGTCTTTGTTTTTAACTGTACAGAGCTGCAGTTTTTCTCCAGAGAGTCGAGAGAGTCTGACACGAACCGTTTTCAGTGGCTCAGCAGCCACCATGTTAGCTAAAGTTCCTTTGTGTGTTGCTTAGTAAAGAGACTCATGTGTTTTTTGTAGACTTTCAGTTGATCTACATTGTTCATTAGTAATTATGAGTGCATTGTAGGACTATATAATGCCCTCAAAACCTGTCTGGAATTTCATTTTATGATTCAGACTCCGAGAGACGTACTCAGCCCAAGACTGTTGAAGATCTGGACTCTATGCCGTGGTGGTCCAGTGACAGGTCTTCAGCGTATGTTAAAGACATAGTACTGAGTACTCACGCTGGCTGTGGAGCCCAGTGTTAGGTGGTTCATCTGCTGTGTTAGAGGAGATATCAGGTGTGCAGGCTGCATGGAGACCGTCGTGTGTTCCAAAGATGGAGTGATCACGGTTCCCTAAGAGAGACAAAGAGAACGAGAGAGACAGAGTAACAGTATCAGTTGTAAGAACAGGTTCTCTGCTCATTGGTGGAGCTGTGATGTATGTACTGTACATTTTCATACTGACAATCTATTTATGGATGATTCTACTGAACTGGTTCAGAATCAAAGCTGAAAACACATTTGGGACTTTAACTGATCTTAGACTTTAAACTAAAATCCTTATAGTGACCATCCATTCATCCATCCATCCATCCATCATCTAAACCGCTTATCCTTCTGGGTCGCGGTGGGGTGCTGGAGCCTATCCCAGCTGTCATTGGGCGGAAGGCAGGATACACCCTGGACAGGTCGCCAGTCCATCCCAGGCAGACATACACATTCACACCTAGAGGCAATTTAGCGTGTCCAATCAGCCTGACTGCATGTTTTTGGACTGTGGGAGGAAACCCACGCAGACACGGGGAGAACATGCAAACTCCACACAGAAAAGACCCTGGTCACCCAGCCGGGAATCGAACCCAGGCCATTCTTGCTGTGAGGCGACAGCGCTACCCACTGCACCACCGTGCCGCCTTTATAGTGACCCTATAACTTCATTATGTTTATTTTATTAAAACAAATGACTGAACGTTATATTTTGTCTCTACCAAAACAATCATAATTCTACCCAAATAGTTCAGGACTGACTGTTTTGGTGGAGACAATTTTAGCTACTTTTGAGCTCAAAAACACAGCCAGTACATGACCAGCAAACACAGCTTTGAACAGCTGTTCACACATAAAATCATATTTTTTTACATTACAACACTAAAAAGTACTTAATTGCAGTTAAGTGACCGATTTAATTAATTTAATTTTTGTTTTGTTATTTTTAATTTATATCGTATGATAATTTTTGCTAAGTTTACTCTTGTCAGCCATCCCTTTTTACCCCTACCCCTTGTTTTCGAGTGCCACCCTAACCACTTGGAACTGAGTTAGAAGGGGTAGTAGTTGAAGTCTTGCCCTACGAATTGGGACCCTCAAATAAAACAAAAAATTCTTCAGTGATATGAAGCTGAAGTCAGATATTCACCAGCTTCTTGTTTGAATTTTCCCGTTCCACCTTAAATGGTGCAGCAGTTGCATTCTGGCACTTCAGGTGTCAGAACTGCTGGACTATTTAAGGTGGACCGGGAAAGTTAGCTAGCTAGCTACTGAGACATTAGCATGCTATTAGCGATTTTTTATGCTTTTTTTGAAGAAAAACGACCAAAATACACTGAAACGACATTAAACTAAGATAAAACAATGGTTATCGTAATTTTTTAACAGAGAAAATTCTCACGTTTGTGGGTTTCTTTGGTCATTAGTGCAGTCTAATAACACTGTGTTTGGTGTGAGCCTCTGAAAAACCTCAGTTTGGAGGGCCATGTTGCCCCACCACTTCACCCTACCCCTCTCTCTCAACAAGAATCAGGACACCCTACCCCTAGACGTCAACGTGCAAAACAGAGGGCTAAGTGGTAGGGGCAAGGGGTGAACTGGGATTGGGCCCAAATATTACGATATTATAGCCCAGTGATGGTCACATGACACTGTTATATTGTTATGATCTATTATCTGTTTTTTTCATGGCATTGTTATTATGTAGCAGGAATCTAAGTGTCAACATTTTTAAAACCAATATTTTTTGTGTCAAAAAAAAACAAACAAATGTGCTGTTTTTGAAAACTGAAACTTTTTTGGGGGGCAAAATTTTGATGCACCCCTGAATGACACCATAATTGCTGACACAAAATTACAGCACAGTTATAGTTAAATACAGTTTATTACAAAACCGCAATTAATGAATTACATTTTACAAACTTATATATTACTCAACAGTACATACTTATAACAGCTTTGACCTTCAAAGGGAGAGAGAGAAAAGTAAAGAGAGACAGAGAGAGAGAGATAGAGAGAGAGAGAGAGAGAGAGAGAGAGAGAGAGAGAGAGAGACTCATTATTACAGAGTAAAGTGCTTCACCACAACCCAAAAGCCGCTAAACTGCTCCTCTCATTATACTAACCATAATGATACGCAGAACACAGTCATACTCATAGAAACTGTCTGCTGCGGTAAACAGTCTGTTGTGCTGTCTTGTGTGTTTGTATTATAAATTGATTTTCCGATATGCTCTGGCTGCTCGGGCTCCTGTTCCTCCATCATTTCTAAAAATATACCAGAATAAAAGTCCTCTCCAGGCTGTAAACAAGCTCTGTCATATTCACTGACAGTCTGACTGATGCTTTCAGACTGGAATAAGAAAATATTCCAAATCCCCACAGCGCTCGGACACGAAGCAGCTACCGTCAGCTTAAAAACGCTATGAAACAATGTAGGCACATAAACATTAGAGTACATGGGCTTAAAATGACCATAGATTTATTTACTGCAAAATAACTACAGTGGAGTTTAATTCATCAAAGCTCACAAATGTGCTATTCCATATCTACCATTGTGAGGTTGTACAAACTTCACATAACTCTACATAAAACGTTTCTCATTAGGTTGAATGAATAACTGACTCTAAATGTAGGTATTGTGATATAAACTCAGTCTGTTCTACAGTTTCTCATTAGGCTGAATGAATAACCGACTCTAAATGTAGGTATTGTGATATAAACTGAGTCTGTTCTACAGTTTCTCATTAGGCTGAATGAATAACTGACTCTAAATGTAGGTATTGTGATATAAACTGAGTCTGTTCTACAGTTTCTCATTAGGCTGAATGAATAACCGACTCTAAATGTAGGTATTGTGATATAAACTCAGTCTGTTCTACAGTTTCAGACTTTTACCATTACAAGAACTTCTCAAAGTTTAAATAATAAATTATAATGTTACAACAACAAATTCATGCCTTTGTCTCCAGCAGGCTGGACTACTGCAGTGGTCTCTTTACTGGCCTTCCCAAAATCCCAGTCAGTCAGCTACAGGTCATTCAAAACACAGCTGCTAGAATGTTTACAAGAACTAACAGATCTGAGCACATCACTCTAATCCTCAAGTCACTGACAACCAACTAGGTACAGAATTGACTTTAAAGTGGTTCGACTTGTATATAAATCTCTGACTGGCCTTGGACCAAAACACACTGCTGATCTGCTTGAAGTAAATGAACCCAATAAGCCTCTCTGATCACTCAGGACCGGTCAGTTAGTAGAACCCAGAATCAGAACCAAAAAGGGTGAAGCAGTATTCAGTCTCTATGCTGCCACTTGCTGGAACAAACTCCCAGATGATGTCAGATATGCTCCAGATACAGCCATCTTTATGTCCAGATTAAAGACATTCTTCTTTTCTTGTGCCTTTGTTTAGCACTACACTGTACCCTAATCACTACTTCAGTTTCGTTTAATCCCTTATGTTACTTGCTATTATTTTGTCTTTTATGTTTAGCATTTATTTTATTGCCTATCTTTAGTACTATTATTCTTTTTGTAACTACCTTTGCAAATGCACTGTTAGATCTCAGGATTCCATAAACTTTAATATTTAATATTATTTAATACTTTTACTTTTCTGTTTTTCACTCTTAAGTACTTTGTCTTCATTTTCCTTTTGATGTTCCTTTAGCTTTTATTTACGTAAAGCACATTGAACTGCCGGTAACACTTTATTTGAAGGCTTCCTACGTCATAACACATGCATAAGCACTGAATAACATATTCATGAAGCAATACTTGAGTATTTATAAACATCGTATGCCAGTAATCGAGATACCACCCATATGGTGAAATAAATGACATTGCATTGACATAATGGTTTTGTACTTTAACTCTGCTAGAAATGTCTAAACTAGACCTTCTAAGTTCCATTACTTGGGAATGATGCTTCATAATAGTGTTATAAATGAAAAAAAAATGTTCTTCACTTTAGTTTGAGGTCCCTTATGTCAATGCAGTCGCATTTACTTCATAGAACATCTTACTTCATCTTGCGGTAACTAGCATAAGCCGGACATAATTATAAAGTAATATTTGAATATTTATGTTATTCAGTGCTTATGAACATGTTATGTAGTCCCTATGTAGGTGTCACGCATTTGGCTAGTCAACCAATGAACTACAATTCCCAGAATCCTACGCCTGCTCACATGACTCCGGATTTCACTTCCCAGAATCCTCCACCTGCTCACATGACTCCGGACTTCACTTCCCAGAATCCTCCGCATACTCACGTGACTCCGGAAAGGTCATCAGCGGCCTGTCACCGCTCAAGTTCGCCTGAGTATTAATGATGTTCACCTCTGGGTTTATGTCATGTGACTTACCAAGCTAGTATTTTAGCCCGGGCTATAGTTAGGTTTGTTGTGAGGTATTGCTTTCCATTGTGAAACGACTGAGCGTTCTTCCTGTTGTGAGTTATTGTGTATGACCGTTTGCCTACCCTTTTTCTCGTTGACTCTGTTTTTGGATTTGCCCTTCTGTACTGTTGCCTGGTTTCTTGGTTTATCGGTTTTGACTATTCGCATGTATTTTGGACTTTGCTCTGTTTTTTCCCTTGTCGCTTATGGTCGCCATGTGTCTTCTGTTGTTTACTTTGGAACTGACCCATGCCTGTTTTTTGACGACGTTATACTTGCCAGAATCCCTAAGTAAAACTTCTTTTGTGTTTTATATCCGCGAGCGTCTGCTTACTGGTCAAACATTACAGTAGGTAACCTTCAAATGAAGTGTTAAAGAATTGCCTTTGTGTATGAAATGTGCTGTATACATAAACTTGCCTTTCCTTACAAAAGAACATTGCTGTTGTTGGAACAAAGCCTCATATCTCCAAAATGGTAACTTTACAGGAATGTACTTTACTTTAAATGTAAGTCAATGGAACCAGATTTTTTTACAGTCTTTTTTGGGACATTTCTTTGGTCTTTTTTTGGTCCAATCATCATGAAATTTACGCACAATGTAAAGGGCAACAGGCATTTTCAAATTATGTCAAAAACTGAAAAACGACAAAAATGGAGATGAGAGGTTTTGTTCCGACCTCAGCGAAATGTAAATACATATTAACACAGCTTTCAACCAAAAATGATTCATGGTTTAGAAACTGCAGATAATACACATTCAAGGTGTTGCTATAATTCAATCTTTATTTACTTTTAATTTTTTTTATGCTTTTTGGCAAAGTACACGTCAGCGACATGTGATGTGCTTCCAATGGCTGCTGCAGAAATTGACTTTCATTTAAAATTAGTTTGAAACTTTAAAAAAGCTTCTTGTTGGCCTGCAGTGCACAAAGCAGCATAGTGCATAACAATACAAATTTCAAAAACTTTAATAAAAAAAAAAAATTGCTTGACGAAAGCTATTAAAAGATCAATTACTTTATTTGGTAATTATCAATCTCTGGGGCACATCAGTCATTTCAGAGGTCAAATGAAAGGTTAAAGGTAAGAAGTTTTAGGTCACTCACAGTCGGTTGCATAACATACTGCTGATGAGGCATCCACGACGTACTCTGAACCTGCAGAGAGAACAATGAGGATTTTAATATATAAATATATATTTTAATGTGTGAATTATTCTGAGACTCCTCTCTGCCTAATGAGCTAGAACAAAATCCCTTAAAATGTGCAGAGAACAAAACATGATTATTATGATTATATAAATTAATAATTATTTCTAGATATGTATTAGTACTTAATTTGCCACTAACAAATGCATACTAATTTTAACATTATTATATAACATCAGAGATAAAGTCAAAGAGGAACACTCAGGGCCTTGATGATTTATGTGAAATAAAAACACTATAGAACATAATAGAACCATGATGTTTGTTGTTTTTAAACTCTGTAAGTGTTGTAGGAATGCACTTACATCATTCTTAAATTTTGGCTGGAAACTAATTCTTTAAAATCTCCAAATAATATCAAAAAAGTATGCAATCATAAGTGTTTCCTCTGTGCTATATAGGTAAATTCAGCTCAGTGAGCTCACCCATTGGATAGGACTTCAGGAGCTGGACTGAAGGCCTTACATGTTAGACTAGACTCTGACTGGACTCATGTGATGCTCGTTGCCATGGTAACATCTACATTAAGTGGTTCTCTACACATGCACGTAATTTTGTATCTGATTGCTTGTAGTGTGAATGTAAACAGAGATTATCCATCAGACTGTCGAGTAGTGTGAGAATATAAACACCTCAGTCTTAATCTATAATCAGAATGAGTTCAGTCACACACACCTTTAAAGCCGCTTATCCTTCTGGGTCGTGGGGGGTACTGGAGCCTATCCCAGCAGTCATTGGGTGGAAGGCAGGATACACCCTGGACAGGTCGCCAGTCCATCACAGAGCAGACACACAGACATTCTCACACATTCTCCCCTAGGGGCAATTTAGCATGTCCAATTAGCCTGACTGCATGTCTGTGGACTGTGGGAGGAAACCCAAGCAGACATGCAACATGCAAACATGCAAACTCCACACAGAAAGGACCCTAGTCACCCGGCCAGGGAAACGAACCCAGGCCCTCCTTGCTGGGAGGCGACAGTGCTACCCACTGTGCCAGTGTTGGAATCAGGATTAGGTTAAGGGCTGGATCCAACAGAATCTAATACATTCAAGTTCAGTTCAGTGAACAAAAGTTCATTAGCCCCAAAACAAACATACCATCTAATATCATTAGAGAGCAACTCAGTTCACCACAATCTAAACACATTCAGCTGTTTCTCTTACTCTAAACCATAATGACACAAAACATGATCATACTCATAAAAACTGTCTGCTGCAGAAAAGCTTGAATTCCATTCTTTTATATATATTTATATACGTGTGTGTGTGTGTGTGTGTGTGTGTGTTTGTCTGAATTATAAATCAATTGATGTGAACAAACAGTCTGTAAACAGACATTGTGCGTTTGACCTTTATTGGCAAATCAATCTCTAGAATTCAAACAAACACAACATCCAATATAGAATATTTATTAATGCTGGGGTCACCACCCGACTGTTTATTCTATAAACACTGTGAGACCCCAATGCCAGGCTTCAGTTCAGGGTTATGCATAGGTTGCATTATTCAAAAGTGAAGGTGCACACAATCAAACCAAATGTCTGTCCACTCTGTGACGATGCTTGGGGTTCTCTTTAGTGCATATGTTTTGGTTCTGTCCAAAAGTGTGCACCAGAAATATCTACGCAAGTTCATGTATTGTGTCTCTAAGGCAGGAATAGAATCTCTGAGGTGTGAGTCTGAGTCGAATTCTGAGTCTTTGAGGTGTGATTCTAAATCTTGAGACTGTGAAGTCTGAGTCCAAGTTGAGTCTTGAGTCTTTGAGGTGCAAATCTGAACCTTGTGTTTCTTTGAGTCTGACTCAAGTCTTGTCTCTCAGAGTCAATTCTTGAGTCTAAGAGGTGCAAATCCAAGTCTTCAGTCTCTAAGGTGTGAATCCATGTCAAGTTTTGTGTCTTTGAGTTACAAGTCAAGTCTCGATTTTCTTAGGTTGAGTCCAAGTCGAGTCTCTGATATGTGAGGTCGAGTCAAGTCTCAAGTATTTGAGGTGTGAATTCAGGTCTCGAATCTCTGAGATGTGAGTCTGAGTAAAGGTTTGAGTCTCTGAGGTGAGAGTCACCATTGAGTTCCTGAGATGAGCCCGAGCCCAAGTTGAGTCTCTAAGGTTGACTCTAAGTGAGTCTAAGTTGAATCTTGAGTGTCTGGAGTATGAGTCTGAGTTGAGTCTCAAGTGTCTGGGATTTGAGTCAGGGTTGAGTCTCTGAGGTGGTAGTCCTAGTCAAGTCTCAAGTCTCTGAGGTCCGAGTCCAAGTCAAGTCTCGAGTCTCTGAAGTGTGAGTGAGAGTCGAGTCTTGAGTGTCTGGGTTGCAAGTGAGATTTGTGTCTCAAGTCTTTGAAGTATGAGTCTGAGTTGAGCGTCAAATCTTTGGGGTGTGAGTCTGAGTCTTGAGTCTCTGAGGTCGGAGTCTGAATCAAGTCTCAAATCTCTGGGGTGCAGGTCTCTGGGAGTCCTTACCACATATCCCAGCGGTGCACAACTCCAGTCCTGGAGCGCTGTTGTCCAGCACAGCATGGTCGTTTCCCTGCTCAAACACACCCACTAAACCTGGCAATTAACAGATGAGTTAAATCAGGTGTGTTTGAACAGGTAAATCACTAAATTGTGCTGGAGAAATTGTGCTCCAGAACAGGAGTTGTGCACCCCTGACATATTCAGTGATTGTCTTTAATATTGCACATGGTGGTTGCCAAAAGGTGTCCAGCATCCTCATTTGCATTATTCAACAGTAAAACTTTTGTCTGTCCACTCTATGATGGCGTTTGGGGGTCTTTAGTACATATGTTTTGGTTCTGTCTGAAAGTATGCACCAGAAATATTCATGTCAGTTCATGTCTTGTGTCTCTGAGGCAGAAGTGGAGTCTCTGAAGTGTGAGTTTGAGTGAAGCTTTGTGTCTCTGAGTAAAGTCTTGAGTCTTAGAGGTGCAAATCCAAGCCTTGAGTCCAAGTCAAGTGTTGAGTCTTTGAGGTGCAAGTCAAGTCTTGATTTTCTTAGGTTGAGTCTGAGTTGGGTCTCTGAGAAGTGAGGTCGAGTCAAGTCTTTGAGCTGCAAATCCAGGTCTCGAGTCTCTGAGATGTGAGGTATGAGTCAAGCCTTATGTCTCTGAGTTATGTCTTGAGTCTTAGAACTGCGAGTCCAAGTCTTGAGTCTTAGAGGTGCAGGTCAAGTCTCAATTTTCTTTTGAGGTTGAGTCTTGTTTTGAGGCATGAATCCAGGTCTTGAGTCTGTGAGGTGTGAGTCTGAGTCAAGTCTTGTGTCTCCGAGTCAAGTCAGCTCGACAGAATGTAGCTTTTTTCTAAGATTGGTGCAAAGACAGCTGTTTGAAACAGTGTTTGTTCTGCTTTGATAGCCTGCTGTTATCTCTGTTATTTAGAATGAATATAACAAACACCAAATGCTGGCTACTAAACTTGCTAACAGGCGGCACGGTGATGCAGGGGGTAGCCTTGTCGCTTCACAGCAAGGTCCATTTCTGAGTGAAATTTGCATGTTTTCCCCGTGTCTGTGTGGGTTTCCTCCAGGTGCTCTGTTTTCCTACCTTAGTCCAAAGACATGCAGTCAGGCCAACTGGACAGGCTAAATTGCCCCTAGGTGTGAGTGTGTGTCCAGGTGTGTCCAGGGTGTTTCCTGCCTTCCGCCCAATGACTGCTGGGATAGGCTCCAGCTGCCCCCGTGACCCAGAGGGTTAAGCAGCTTAGAAAATGTGTATAACTAGCTAATTAAATGAATGATCAAATGCTTTGAATGTGACTTTAATTAAATTATGAAATTACTTTAAACTGCTTTGTGCAACTGTCAAGTTGCACAGAAATTAGGCTAGTTTGTGTGAAAGTTTGACCTCTGAAGGCAGCCGAAGGGTTAATTCATGTCTAGTAATTCTGACAGATTTGTCTATCTCCCCCTTTTTGCTGATGGTTCCTGTCTGTGCCTTGAGGCAGTGCGTTTCTCTCTCTGCATGCCGTGGACAGAGGAATGAAGGCAGACAGATGGAGATATTAGAGCGCTGGAGGCTGAAGGTCAGCGTGAGAGAAGCTTCTGGAACAGCAGGATTAATATCCGCTCTCTTTCTGATCAATCAGTTTATGAAGACAAATACAGGAGGACATTTAATCAGAGAGAAATGAAGAGACACAGTAACCTTCAGCAAACACACTTCTGTCTCTTTGCCCTCTCTTTTTCTCCTTCATCACTCCTGATCCTTCTCTCCTTCACCAAACACAGTCATCTATTTCCTTCTCTTTCTGTCAGTCTGGTTGTCTCTGCTTTTCAGTAATTATCTTATTCCTCTCTGTCTGTCTTGTTGTCTCTCTTCCTTTCACCAAATGCCAACTTGTGTCTGGTTCTCTCTCCCCCTCTATCACACATACAGCCAGGTTACCTGATATGTGGAGACGGGTGAGGCAGTGATGAAAGGCGTGATGGAGGTTTGGGTGATCATTCTGTTAGAGGCAAAACTGTACGGAGAAGAATAAAACCTGAGAGAGAGAGAGATAGAAAGAGAGAGAGAGAGAGAAAAGTGATTGAACATTCGAGTGCTTGGGTAGGTGGTCGGGTGTTTGGACTTGCAGGTAACTGGATGATTGGGCTTGTAGGTGATTTGGTGATTGAGGTTGCAGGTGATTGGGTGTTTGGGCTTGCAAGTAATTGGGTGATTGGGCATGCAGGTGATTTTGTGTTTGGATTTACATGTGATTGTGTGATTGGGCCTGCAGGTGACTGGGCGTTTGGGATTACAGGTGGTCAGGTGATTGGGTCTTTGGGCTCACAGATGATTTTGTATTTGGACTTGCAGGTGATTGGGCTTGCAGGTGATTGGGTCTTTGGGCTTACAGGTGACTGGGTGATTGGGCTTGCAAATGATTTTGTGTTTGGGCCTGCAGCTGAAAAGGTACACAAACCATACTGCTCTAGAATGTTCAAGTAACTACACTATTTAATTTATTCATTTTCACAGCATTCACATAATTGCACAGGTGTTTGGGCTTGTGTGTGGTTGGATGATTGGGCTTGCTGGTGATTGGGTGTTTGGGGTTGCAGGTGATTGAGTGTGCTTGCATGTGATCGGGTGATTGGGATTGCAGGTAACTGGGTGATTGGGCTTGCAGGTGATTGGGTGTTTAGGGTTACAAGTGATTGGGTCTTTGGGCTTGCAAGTGATTGTGTGTTTAGACTTGCAGGTGACTGGGCTTGCATGTGATTGGGTCTTTGGGCTTGCAGGTAGCTGGGTGATTGGGCTTGCAAATGATTTTGTGTTTGGGCCTGCAGCTGAATAGGTACACAAGGTACACATACTGCTCTAGAATGTTCAAATAACTACTACACTATTTAATTTATTCATTTTCACAGCATTCACATAATTGCAATGACCAATTGCAATGAGTGACTGCAGCTAATGTTCAGTGAACATAACTTGACTGTTTAAGTACAGATAATGTCAGAGCTTTCAGTGTGGTTTAACGAAAGATTAAAAGAATTCAAGACAAATTGCTATTAGTATCTCAAATGTGATTGATGTCTAAATGATATTTAGAAATCTACATGATAATTTTTTATTTGCTGGTTACAAAATATAGGCATTTCCTGAAGATCTAGACCTTTTCTGAAATGATGCTAGTTTTACTGATCGAGTTTGAGCAACCCTATTAAGCCGCTCACTCTCTGTCAGTTTCTGAGTAAATAAGAGTCAGGGTGTATGTCTTACCCATTCTGTAAAGCTGCAGGATCGTACGTTAATGTCACTCCATTCTGCAACAGAGATATTTCAGTTTCAGTGATGTACAGTATTGATATCTAAATTGTGTATGACTGAACAACATGAAGAAAATCACTCAAATGCTGCAATTTACCATCTTTCTTTCTCTTCTATCACGTTTCTCTCTCTCTCTCTCTCTCTCTCTTTCTGTCTTTCTCTTTTCTCTCTTCTGTCTCTGTGTCCCCATCCCTCTCTCCTTCTTTTTCTCCCTGTTTCTCTATTTTTTATCTCCTCTCTCTCTGTCTTTCTCTACTTTGTCATTGTCTCTCCTGCTCTTTCCTTCTCACTCTGTCTTTCATTTCTCTCCCTATATCACACTCTCTGTCTTCCTGCCTTTCTCTCTTTCTTTCTCTCTCTCTCTCTCTCTCTCTCTCTTTCTCTCCCCTGGAGAATCACTAATCTATCTCAGGCTGCTGAGCATGGCAGATTTCATCTGCATCCCTACTGTTTGTTCTCTCTCTCTCTCTCTCTCTCTCTCTCTCTCTCTCTCCCTCCGTCCCTCCCTCCCTCCATCGTTTCCTCCCTGAAGGCACTATCACTCTTATCATGTCTGAGATATATGAAAAGATATGAGCAACAGGGGAGAGAGACATGGAGAGAGATGATAATGAGTTAGTGGATTAATACCTACATTTAGAGTCAGATATTCATTCAGCCTAATGAGAAACTGTAGAACAGACTCGGTTTATATCACAATACCTACATTTAGAGTCAGATATTCATTCAGCCTAATGAGAAACTGTAGAACAGACTCGGTTTATATCACAATACCTACATTTAGAGTCGGTTATTCATTCAGCCTAATGAGAAACTGTAGAACAGACTCGGTTTATATCACAATACCTACATTTAGAGTCAGTTATTCATTCAACCTAATGAGAAACTGTAGAACAGACTCGGTTTATATCACAATACCTACATTTAGAGTCAGTTATTCATTCAGCCTAATGAGAAACTGTAGAACAGACTCAGTTTATATCACAATACCTACATTTAGAGTCGGTTATTCATTCAGCCTAATGAGAAACTGTAGAACAGACTCAGTTTATATCACAATACCTACATTTAGAGTCGTTTACTCATTCAACCTAATGAGAAACAGTAGAACAGACTCAGTTTATATCACAATACCTACATTTAGAGTCAGTTATTCATTCAGCCTAATGAGAAACTGTAGAACAGACTCAGTTTATATCACAATACCTACATTTAGAGTCGGTTATTCATTCAACCTAATGAGAAACTGTAGAACAGGCTCAGTTTATATCACGATACCTACATTTGTGTGTGTGTGTGTGTGTGTGTGTGTGTGTGTTTGTAAACCTTATAATATGGGGACTTCAGCCAGTAAGCACACCAATAAAGTGGGGACGTGTGTCATCGTGGGGACCAAAAATCGAGTCCCCACAAAGTTAACCATTGTAGCATGTCTATTTCGTTGGGCTGAACCTCCCCCCTTAAAATCTCGGAAGTCCCCAAGATGAACACAATCTCGACAAAAAGTGTGCGAGTGCTTAGGGGGAACTGCTCAAAGTGTGTACACGCCCCCTGTGGCCAAAGACTGTAAAAACAACTGCGGACGCACACTTGATCACGTGGTACAGCAATGCTGAACTCTGATTGGTTGAAACGGGAAGCAATCAGTGGAACTGTGAGCCAATGAGGTATCACCTTGATCAGTGCTGCAGTTTCCCAGTCCGAAGTGACGTGTGCCGAGCTAGCCCAGCGCCTGAGAGCTCTGTGAGTGAACTTTCACCATCAGACGGAATGTTTTCAGCGACTACATGTTTAATTAATAAACTGTGCTCGAATATAAACCTTAATAGTGCTGTAAATTTAAGATTTTAGTTTCAGTAGTGCCGTGTTCTCGTTAATTAGCTAGCGCTAGTTAGCTGGCTGTTCTAGCCTGTTAGCTCAGCCCTGACGGGGCATTTAAGGCCTTTAACCTGCCTCCCTGTATCAGCCCGTTTATCGAGACAGTTCGCGCTACGATGCCTATGAATGTTTAACGCGTCTTCCGTAGAGAAGCTGGTGAAGTGTTTAAGGGTGAAAGCTTGGTAATGAGGAGGAAGAGCCCGACAAACGACGCTGTTTTCCACATCACCGCCGGCCGCGACAGAGCGGGGCTAGATGTGAAGTACATTGGTTCGTTTAAAGGTGAGCAGAGCAGGTAGATCAGCTTTGACTGAACCTCGACACAGAGAAGGTCGTGTTAGCGCGGTCTGTGGTTGCTGATTAAGGCAGGGGAGTGTTTGCCGTGACGAACTTCGCGAGAGGAGAGTTCGTGCTGGAGTACAGAGGAGACCTGATCAGTGCGGAGGAGAGTCGGAGAAGACAGCGGGTTTATCACAGCGCCGTGAAAGCGTTCCTGTTCGACTTCATCTGGCACGGAAAGCTCTGGACGTGAGTAACTCTTCCCTTCTTCTTTCTCGGCCTGCGGGGTTAAAGGTGGGGAGGTTTCGGCCGCGGCGCTCAGAGCCGCGCTGAGCGGAGATGGGGACGGGAGGCTGGTGTTAGATGGGCTATAAACGCTTTATTACTGCGACTCATTCATATTTAAACCTTTAAAGATCTAACATTCATCTGTGATCAGCGCCGAGGTGTTTGGCAGCGTCGTCGTTTTGTTTACAGACGCGTTGGCCATTTACTGTGATCGACCCCCCCCCTCCGTTTTTAATCACATCTAATGATGACGTGTGTTTTTATCAGAACAGCGACCTGGCTAGCTTTTATAATGCGCCTTATTCAGTCGTGTTGTCTTTTTCGGTAAATGTATAGCAACTTTCCCCTGACGCGATTTTAAAGGGCCACCGCATCAGAACCAGCGAGGTGCTGGTCGTAATTCTAAAGTTATTGGTTAAGATCATGACCTCTTGACCCTCCTGATCCTGAGCCACACGTGGATTTAGTTCGCATCATCTTTAAATTTAGTATAATTTCCGTTATCCAGCTCTGTTTTCCACATTTTCTAATCTGTTTATGTATGACGTTTATACATATTGTGCTTTGTAGTCTTTCTTTAGTTCACTACTATTTCTATTTAACAAATGTCATGTTCCTTAACTCAAAATGCATAATCACCCCTGCCTGTAGACGCATATTGAGCACAGTTACTTAAGAGGTAGAAGGAAACTGTGAATAGTCTAACAATGATAATATATTAATATGAGCAAAATGACAATGACACTATTATTAAGTGAAATAACTGAAAATAGTGTATTGTTTGCTTTCATTACATTTTTAAATTTTACAACTATACAACTAAAATATTACTTTTTGTCACTAAATAACTCTTCTGTTTGTTCAAATTCAGCATTGATGCTGCAAGGGATGATGGCACACTTGGAAGACTGGTTAATGACGACCACATTAACCCCAACTGTAAAATGAAGAGAATCATTGTGGAGGGAAGGCCACATTTGTTCCTTTTTGCTTTAAGAGACATAACACCTGGAGAGGAGATTACGTATAATTATGGAGATGGTGATTGTCCCTGGAGGAGTGAGGTAAGAATGTTACTTCTTGTACCAGTTGTGGATAATTAAATACCAAATAGTGAATATATTTCTAAGATATCATATCCATAATGTAAATGGAAGCTTGAAATTAAAGGATACTGTTAATTTGAGTTTATGCAGACTATCTAGAGATGATCAGAACAATTCCAATCAGTTACAGTATGGTACTGCTAACATGTTGCATGCTGTTTCCATAACAGGATTTCCCTCTTATTTTTGTGTTTAATAATGACTGTTGTGTCCATTTCAGGTGACAAAAAGTGGAATGGAAGCAGACAACAATCATCTGGAGTCAGAAGGTGCCTCTGGAGATGATCAGCATTGCACCAAGCATTTACAGCACAAATCTGCTTTTGGCGTCCAGGTAAGCAAACTGCTAAAATTCAAGCATGTTCACACAGGTAATGCTAAGTCTGCACAATGTGTAAAGTAGTCAACCAGTATCAGGAGAGTCTGGCTGCAGACATGCGCTCTCAGACAGATGCAGTCTCAGCCCCAATCACGTCATGTGCTCTCTGCCAATGGCTGAAACAGCCCAATGGCACATTAACTTTTGGCTGCTGTTATTTAGCGATATCATCACTTAATCCATTTTTCATCCATAACATGGCTAGAGAGTGACATTTAATGCACCTCCCTGTTGAATAAAAATCATAGAACGCATTAAAAGTGTCTGTTGGTTTCTGGTGGTTTTCAGTAGTGGCTAATGGTATTCTGTGTTTTCCTGATGGGTTAATATCACAGTGTGAAGGATTCCGATCGTTTAATCAGGTGTTCTGGGACTGATTCCACATATGTTTGATTATTTCCTAATGGTCTCTAACGGCAACCATCAAGCCAATTCCCGTTAGGAAGCCAAACCGTCAGGTTTTATTCCTAACAGCCCTGCAAACACAATTACACTTTGACAACCTACTGTTTCAATGCCCACAGCGTCGTCTGCTTGGTGCTCTTTACATTGTCATAACATTGTAATGTAATTTTTCAGAAAGGTATGAACGTTGTCTGACAACTTTCTAGGAGGTTGTGACGACGTTGATGAGACGGCAAAAGTAATCAGTACTATGGTGACTGTACGTTGTCATTAGCTCCTAGAATCCTTAATAAGTTTTAATCAATATTACAGTTTTTGATGACCGGTTCTAATTGTCAGCATGGCTTTCATGAGTTTCAGCAGCAGCCTGTTTGTCTTTTTCTGTGAATAAACCCGACATTCATGTCTTATTGCTGCGGTAGGCTTTATTTTGAAAGTTTCCATATTTAATTACCTTATTATCAGTATGGCAACGTCATTATATATTCAGTGTAACTCCTGCTGCCCAGCAGTACGCGTTTCGCTGTTTTTACTCATAAAACTCACAAAAACACTGTTGTGGCGGAGCGGCACTGACGTCATTAATAGGCTGCTGGTGCATGTCAGGCTGAGAGTGCATGTCTGTTCATATACCTCAGTTATGAAATTTATGCGCTGCTGCTCCATAAACCTGCTTTGCATGTATTAATCCCTTCTGCTTTTTTCATGTGGACTATGCACATCTACCTCATCGCCTTCAACCATGACACCTCTGAGATGCTATTCCTTGATCACACTGTGCATTTGCTAACCTGTTGAGCTTCTCTCATGCAGACTATGCTCGGCTGACCCATCCATCTCATGATGCTGCACCATTTGCTGTTCGTTTTCTAAACCTAACTTCATTTACTCCTTTACCAGGGTTATCTCAGTACTGTTACAAGATGCCTTCTCTGTGCTGTTCATGTCATATATTTCTCGTTTTGTATACTATAATGGTCTTTTTCAGATTCTCCTCAGCAGAGCTGTAAAATGCTCTCTTCTCTAACAACTCAACAGTGATACAGATGTGATGCTGTACCTCAGTTACATTGTACGGTTACTTATCCTAATTGAATTTACTCCAGCTACTTCTTTTCTAGTGTCTCATTAATGGTGCTGAGGAATATCTCATCTTGCCGCTTAGAGAAAGTACCAAGCAATCATGTATACCAGCTTTACTCCATGTTTCACTAATGCTATTTTTTTACTCCAGTTTCTTCCATTCTAAGGTGTCTGTGATGCTCCTGCATGCCATCTCATCTCACTCATACCACTCATCAGCTGTAACACTGCAGCTTCACTGTGCTCTGAGTCTGCTAATGCTAATCTCATTTCCTCCAGCTCTTTCCTTAACACTGCTGCACTGAAGTTTTCTTCTTGCTTTTTCTGTGTCACTGTTGCTCTTCCACAGCTCCATTTCACTCAGTGTCACGTCAGTATTACAGATCCATTGTTTACATTCCCTTTTTTGGGACCAGCATCTACAGTAGCAAGCTCTTTCACTGCTGTCTGTTTACTGCTCTTGGGCTGCTGAGCCATTGGCTTTAGACCTCGATTCTGTAAAGCTACCATGCAACATTTTGCAAAAGTGCATTCAGTGTCCACCCTGTGCCATCTTTGTGTTTCCAATCTTGCAACCCTTGCCTTGTAACTTGTAGCAACCTCCTCTTCAGCTGGGTCAAGGATCATGGGAAGCTCATTATTAAATTTATTGTGGTGTGGCAGGGGTTATTTGGAGAAAAACAGAAGTGATCTAGTGTTATCAGCATTCTTTTCCTGTTTTCTGTTCTGTGATCTCTCCTTATTTTACAGTATATTGAATGCAGGCTTTGAACTAGCAAAATGTGTTTATTGGTAATTGTTTTGTCTATTTCAGATGACAAAAAATGAAATGGAAGCAGGAAGTAATCGTCTGGAGTCAGATGGTGCCTCTGGAGGCACAGCATCACAGCATGAGTCTACTTTCTGTAACGAGGTATGAAACTGCTTATTTTCTTATATTTTTACATGGTAAACGTCAGGTCCCCACAATGTACACTGTAATCTCATCTACCTTTGTTGGCAAAAGATTTTCAATTGACTAGCGGTGCCCTTCCCCCACTGAGTCCCCACACTGTCTTTAAAAGTGAAGGTTTTACACAAAGTCCTCACAAGGCATCTACTTTAAAATATTATCATTTTAATCTAGAAATATTTTTTGGTTGGTGTGTTTAGCCTAAAAATACTTTCTACAACTTGACAGCGTTCAGCTTAGTTGTAGTATGTCAGCATTGCTTTTACTTTTGGGCTTATTGGTAATTGTTTTGTCTATTTCAGATGACAAAAAATGGAACGGAAGCAGCCAGTAATCGTCTGGAGTCAGATGGTACCTCTGGAGACGATCACCATCACACCCAGCATTCACAGCATGAGTCTACTTCTGTAACGAGGTATGAAACTGCTAATTTCTTATATTTTTTGTATGGTAAACGTCAAGTCCCCACAATGTACACTGTAATCCACCACTGTTGGCAAAAGATTTTCAATTGACTAGCGGTGCCCCTTCCCCCACTGAGTCCCCACACTGTCTTTAAAAGTGAAGGTTTTACACAAAGTCCTCACAAGGCATCTACTTTAAAATATTATCATTTTAATCTAGAAATATTTTTTTGGTTGGTGTGTTTAGCCTAAAAATACTTTCTACAACTTGACAGCGTTCAGCTTAGTTGTAGTATGTCAGCATTGCTTTTACTTTTGGCTTATTGGTAATTGTTTTGTCTATTTCAGATGACAAAAAATGGAACGGAAGCAGCCAGTAATCGTCTGGAGTCAGATGGTACCTCTGGAGACGATCACCGTCACACCCAGCATTCACAGCATGAGTCTACTTTCTGTAAGAGGTATGAAACTGCTAATTTTCTTATATTTTTTGCATGGTAAACGTCAAGTCCCCACAATGTACACTGTAATCTACCACGGTTGGCAAAAGATTTTCAGTTGACTAGTGGTGCCCTTCCCCCACTGAGTCCCCCACACTGTCTTTAAAAGTGAAGGTTTACACAAAGTCCTCACAAGGCATCTACTTTAAAATATTATCATTTTAATCTAGAAATATTTTTTGGTTGGTGTGTTTAGCCTAAAAATACTTTCTACAACTTGACAGCGTTCAGCTTAGTTGTAGTATGTCAGCATTGCTTTTACTTTTGGGCTTATTGGTAATTGTTTGTCTATTTCAGATGACACAAAATGGAACGGAAGCAGCCAGTAATCGTCTGGAGTCAGATGGTACCTCTGGAGACGATCACCATCACACCCAGCATTCACAGCATGAGTCTACTTTCTGTAACGAGGTATGAAACTGCTAATTTTCTTATATTTTTTGCATGGTAAACGTCAAGTCCCCACAATGTACACTGTAATCCACCACTGTTGGCAAAAGATTTTCAATTGACTAGCGGTGCCCTTCCCCCACTGAGTCCCCACACTGTCTTTAAAAGTGAAGGTTTTACACAAAGTCCTCACAAGGCATCTACTTTAAAATATTATCATTTTAATCTAGAAATATTTTTTTGGTTGGTGTGTTTAGCCTAAAAATACTTTCTACAACTTGACAGCGTTCAGCTTAGTTGTAGTATGTCAGCATTGCTTTACTTTTGGGCTTATTGGTAATTGTTTTGTCTATTTCAGATGACAAAAAATGGAACGGAAGCAGCCAGTAATCGTCTGGAGTCAGATGGTAGCTCTGGAGACGATCACCGTCACACCCAGCATTCACAGCATGAGTCTACTTTCTGTAACGAGGTATGAAACTGCTAATTTTCTTATATTTTTTGCATGGTAAACGTCAAGTCCCCACAATGTACACTGTAATCTCACCACGGTTGGCAAAAGATTTTCAATTGACTAGCGGTGCCCTTCCCCCACTGAGTCCCCACACTGTCTTTAAAGTGAAGGTTTTACACAAAGTCCTCACAAGGCATCTACTTTAAAATATTATCATTTTAATCTAGAAATATTTTTTTGGTTGGTGTGTTTAGCCTAAAAATACTTTCTACAACTTGACAGCGTTCAGCTTAGTTGTAGTATGTCAGCATTGCTTTTACTTTTGGGCTTATTGGTAATTGTTTTGTCTATTTCAGATGACAAAAAATGGAACGGAAGCAGCCAGTAATCGTCTGGAGTCAGATGGTACCTCTGGAGACGATCACCATCACACCCAGCATTCACAGCATGAGTCTACTTTCTGTAACGAGGTATGAAACTGCTAATTTTCTTATATTTTTTGTATGGTAAACTTCAAGTCCCCACAATGTACACTGTAATCTACCACGGTTGGCAAAAGATTTTCAATTGACTAGTGGTGCCCTCCCCCACTGAGTCCCCACACTGTCTTTAAAAGTGAAGGTTTTACACAAAGTCCTCACAAGGCATCTACTTTAAAATATTATCATTTTAATCTAGAAATATTTTTTGGTTGGTGTGTTTAGCCTAAAAAATACTTTCTACAACTTGACAGCGTTCAGCTTAGTTGTAGTATGTCAGCATTGCTTTTACTTTTGGGCTTATTGGTAATTGTTTTGTCTATTTCAGATGACAAAAATGGAACGGAAGCAGCCAGTAATCGTCTGGAGTCAGATGGTACCTCTGGAGACGATCACCATCACACCCAGCATCACAGCATGAGTCTACTTTCTGTAACGAGGTATGAAACTGCTAATTTTTCTTATATTTTTTGCATGGTAAACGTCAAGTCCCCACAATGTACACTGTAATCTACCACGTTGGCAAAAGATTTTCAGTTGACTAGTGGTGCCCTTCCCCCACTGAGTCCCCACACTGTCTTTAAAAGTGAAGGTTTTACACAAAGTCCTCACAAGGCATCTACTTTAAAATATTATCATTTTAATCTAGAAATATTTTTTGGTTGGTGTGTTTAGCCTAAAAATACTTTCTACAACTTGACAGCGTTCAGCTTAGTTGTAGTATGTCAGCATTGCTTTTACTTTGGGCTTATTGGTAATTGTTTTGTCTATTTCAGATGACAAAAAATGGAACGGAAGCAGCCAGTAATCGTCTGGAGTCAGATGGTACCTCTGGAGACGATCACCATCACACCCAGCATTCACAGCATGAGTCTACTTTCTGTAACGAGGTATGAAACTGCTAATTTCTATATTTTTTGCATGGTAAACGTCAAGTCCCCCACAATGTACACTGTAATCCACCACTGTTGGCAAAAGATTTCAATTGACTAGCGGTGCCCTTCCCCCACTGAGTCCCCACACTGTCTTTAAAAGTGAAGGTTTTACACAAAGTCCTCACAAGGCATCTACTTTAAAATATTATCATTTTAATCTAGAAATATTTTTTTGTTGGTGGTTTAGCCTAAAAATACTTTCTACAACTTGACAGCGTTCAGCTAGTTGTAGTATGTCAGCATTGCTTACTTTTGGGCTTATGGTAATTGTTTTGTCTATTTCAGATGACAAAAAATGAACGGAAGCCGCCAGTAATCGTCTGGAGTCAGATGGTAGCTCTGGAGACGATCACCGTCACACCCAGCATTCACAGCATGAGTCTACTTTCTGTAACGAGGTATGAAACTGCTAATTTCTATATTTTTTGCATGGTAAACGTCAGTCCCCACAATGTACCACTGTAATCTACCACGGTTGGCAAAAGATTTTCAATTGACTAGCGGTGCCCTTCCCCCACTGAGTCCCCACACTGTCTTTAAGTGGAAGGTTTTACAACAAAGTCCTCACAAGGCATCTACTTTCAAATATTATCATTTTAATCTAGAAATATTTTTTTGGTTGGTGTGTTTTAGCCTAAAAATACTTTCTACAACTTGACAGCGTTCAGCTTAGTTGTAGTAATGTCAGCATTGCTTTTACTTTTGGGCTTATTGGTAATGTTTTGTCTATTTCAGATGACAAAAAATGGAACGGAAGCAGCCAGTAATCGTCTGGAGTCAGATGGTACCTCTGGAGACGATCACCATCACACCCAGCATTCACAGCATGAGTCTACTTTCTGTAACGAGGTATGAAACTGCTAATTTTCTTATATTTTTTGTATGGTAAACGTCAAGTCCCCCACAATGTACACTGTAATCTACACGGTTGGCAAAAGATTTCAATTGACTAGTGGTGCCCTTCCCCCACTGAGTCCCCACACTGTCTTTAAAAGTGAAGGTTTTACACAAAGTCCTCACAAGGCATCTACTTTAAAATATTATCATTTTAATCTAGAAATATTTTTTGGTTGGTGTGTGTAGCCTAAAAATACTTTCTACAACTTGACAGCGTTCAGCTTAGTTGTAGTATGTCAGCATTGCTTTTACTTTTGGGCTTATTGGTAATTGTTTTGTCTATTTCAGATGACAAAAATGGAACGGAAGCAGCCAGTAATCGTCTGGAGTCAGATGGTACCTCTGGAGACGATCACCATCACACCCAGCATTCACAGCATGAGTCTACTTTCTGTAACGAGGTATGAAACTGCTAATTTTCTTATATTTTTTGCATGGTAAACGTCAAGTCCCCACAATGTACACTGTAATCTACCACGGTTGGCAAAAGATTTTCAATTGACTAGCGGTGCCCTTCCCCCACTGAGGTCCCCACACTGTCTTTAAAAGTGAAGGTTTTACACAAAGTCCTCACAAGGCATCTACTTAAAATATTATCATTTTAATCTAGAAATATTTTTTGGTTGGTGTGTTTAGCCTAAAAATACTTTCTACAACTTGACAGCGTTCAGCTTAGTTGTAGTATGTCAGCATTGCTTTTACTTTTGGGCTTATTGGTAATTGTTTTGTCTATTTCAGATGACAAAAATGGAACGGAAGCAGCCAGTAATCGTCTGGAGTCAGATGGTACCTCTGGAGACGATCACCATCACACCCAGCATTCACAGCATGAGTCTACTTTCTGTAACGAGGTATGAAACTGCTAATTTTCTTATATTTTTTGCATGGTAAACGTCAGTCCCCACAATGTACACTGTAATCTACCACGGTTGGCAAAAGATTTTCAATTGACTAGCGGTGCCCTTCCCCCACTGAGTCCCCACACTGTCTTTAAAAGTGAAGGTTTTACACAAAGTCCTCACAAGGCATCTACTTTAAAATATTATCATTTTAATCTAGAAATATTTTTTTGGTTGGTGTGTTTAGCCTAAAAATACTTTCTACAACTTGACAGCGTCAGCTTAGTTGTAGTATGTCAGCATTGCTTTTACTTTTGGGCTTATTGGTAATTGTTTGTCTATTTCAGATGACAAAAAATGGAACGGAAGCAGCCAGTAATCGTCTGGAGTCAGATGGTACCTCTGGAGACGATCACCATCACACCCAGCATTCACAGCATGAGTCTACTTTCTGTAACGAGGTATGAAACTGCTAATTTTCTTATATTTTTGTATGGTAAACGTCAAGTCCCCACAATGTACACTGTAATCTACCACGGTTGGCAAAAGATTTTCAATTGACTAGTGGTGCCCTTCCCCCACTGAGTCCCCACATTGTCTTTAAAAGTGAAGGTTTTACACAAAGTCCTCACAAGGCATCTACTTTAAAATATTATCATTTTAATCTAGAAATATTTTTTGGTTGGTGTGTTTAGCCTAAAAATACTTTCTACAACTTGACAGCGTTCAGCTTAGTTGTAGTATGTCAGCATTGCTTTACTTTTGGGGCTTATGGTAATTGTTTGTCTATTTCAGATGACAAAAAATGGAACGGAAGCAGCCAGTAATCGTCTGGAGTCAGATGGTACCTCTGGAGACGATCACCATCACACCCAGCATTCACAGCATGAGTCTACTTTCTGTAACGAGGTATGAAACTGCTAATTTTCTCTATATTTTTTGCATGGTAAACGTCAAGTCCCCACAATGTACACTGTAATCTACCACGGTGGCAAAAGATTTCAATTGACTAGCGGTGCCTTCCCCCACTGAGTCCCCACACTGTCTTTAAAAGTGAAGGTTTTACACAAGTCCTCACAAGGCATCTACTTTAAAATATTATCATTTTAATCCTAGAAATATTTTTTGGTTGGTGTGTGTAGCCTAAAAATACTTTCTACAACTTGACAGCGTTCAGCTTAGTTGTAGTATGTCAGCATTGCTTTTACTTTGGCTTATTGGTAATTGTTTTTGTCTATTTCAGATGACAAAAATGGAACGGAAGCAGCAGTAATCGTCTGGAGTCAGATGGTACCTCTGGAGACGATCACCATCACAGCCCAGCATTCACAGCATGAGTCTACTTTCTGTAACGAGGTATGAAACTGCTAATTTTCTTATATTTTTTGTATGGTAAACGTCAAGGTCCCCACAATGTACACTGTAATCTACCACGGTGGCAAAAGATTTTCAATGACTAGCGGTGCCCTTCCCCCACTGAGTCCCCACACTGTCTTTAAAAGTGAAGGTTTTACAACAAAGTCCTCACAAGGCATCTACTTTAAAATATTATCATTTTAATCTAGAAATATTTTTTGGTGGTTGTGTTTAGCCTAAATACTTTCTACAACTTGACAGCGTTCAGCTAGTTGTTTAGTATGTCAGCATTGCTTTTACTTTTGGGCTTATGTATATGTTTTGTCTATTTCAGATGACAAAAAATGGAACGGAAGCAGCCAGTAAATCGTCTGGAGTCAGATGGTACCTCTGAGACGATCACCATCACACCCAGCATTCACAGCATGAGTCTACTTTCTGTAACGAGGTATGAAACTGCTAATTTCTTAATTTTTTGCATGGTAAAGGT